GGTGCTACGTCATTAGGAATCCCGTTCAACAGAAGCCTCTGGCCCAGTCGGCTATTTGCGTTTTCCGCTACTCTTCACTGTGATTGGAAGGCGTTTTTCATGTACGTAATCCAAACTGCAGGCACCAGAATAATAAAAATCAAACATACTTTGCTGGCAGGTTTCGAAATTTTAAGTTATTATAGGTGTTAATAAACTGTTTCAGAGGAGTGATCATAGTGATCAGCATCAGCTGTTCCGTGTTTGTCTGTGCTAGCTCCCAGATCAGCTTCTCTGATTGGCTGATGTGGCGTGTCGAAATTTTCAGTTTTTCCAACTGCAGCAGCTGCTGCTTTTGCAGAGCGTCGTGCTCGTCAGATGCTCAGAAGCTCCAGCTACTCCAAACATGGTGTGGGACCTTTTGCTGCGCCAAGATGCGCATCAACCATTGACTTTGCATGTAAACTAGCTGCATCTGCTGCCTCTGCTGCTTGCAGTGTGAACGTAGCATAACCCAGCGTGATGGTGTCACCAGACATGCAGCGGTGGGGGGACAGAGGCAACGCAGCTTGCCAGCGAGGGGTCAGAGGCAGCGTTTTTTGCAAATGGGAAGGGAGCCAAATGCAGATTGTTAGTGGGTCGACCCATATTTGTAAAACACGCGTTACCCCGGTATTTTCAGTGGGAAAGAGCCTTCGCTCTCAATCTGCAGGTTTACTAGAGCTTTCTAGAATTTCTAAAAGTATAATTGGTAGGCAGATCTTTTTGTTACCAGGCTCCCCCTCTATGGAATATACTACCTGTTAGAGCCCATGAGGCAGAAACCCTGCTCATTTTTAAGGCAAGGCTTAAAACTTTCCTTTTTGATAAAGCTTATAGTTAGAGTCGATCAGGTTATTATGAGCCATCTGTTTTGCTGCTATAGGCTTAGACTGGTGGAGGACATTGGGACCCCTTTTTCATCATTCTGCTTCATTCTATCTATATTCTCCCATTTTGCAGTATTTGATAATTCCATATCTAACTTGATGCTCTCTCTGCTTTTTCTCATCATAGATTCATAGCGTCATCAGGTTTGTCCCTGTTTGGCTGAGACACCATCCCAGAGAGACGTATCAGCCATCAACACCTTTGTTTATAGATGTTGAGCTTGGCCCGATTTTCAGTGTAGTCTTGTTTCTCTGACTGTGATTATCTGTGTGGGTTCTCTTTCATGCTCCGACATGGAAACTGGCTGGGCGCTCGTCTGCCTGGCTCTGTGTTTCCAGGACTGGGCTGTCTGTTGGGCTGGTTAACCTTTTGTATCCCTGCTTCCTTCTTGTATGTCTGCTTCTGTCTCCTTGAATCCCAGTTGGCCTAAATAGATGGCAGCTCACACCGAGTCTGATTCTGCTGGAGGTTTCTTCCTGTTAAAATGGACTTCTCCTCTCCAATATTGCTAAAAGCATGCTTGATGTCAATGATTCCTGAGACAGAAAACTTTTAACCTATCTGTCTGTATGATCTAGTTGTACATGTGTTGTAAATTGGCTATAGGATTAAATTGAATTGAACATTAATATATATATATATATATATATATATATATATATATATATATATATATATATATATATATATAAAATAGCTTTAGTATAAATAAAATCTGTCAAAAGAAAAAGTTTTCTTTCAACAAACTGGTTCAAGATAAACTACATACTAAATCCGGGAAAGATTTTTTATTTTTAAGACTTCATATCCCATCATGCTTTAGCAAATGGTCTAAGAGTCCCTATATGGATGACACTTGAGTCCTAAGGGGATTTCTAGGTGCAGTTTCGTGACAGGGGTGTGGTGGGATCCAAGCTAACGCTCCATCAGCAGATGTAAATCAGACTTCGGATCCACCCCCTCATCCGTCTTGCTCTAATAGGGGTGGGCTGCTCTGACTTTGGGAGGGGTTGAACTCTATGCACTTCCATAAACTACACAAACACATGGACAAACATTTTAAAACGTTCTTTTCTAAACTATTTTTTATTATTTGAAAAAAATAGTTGAGAAAGATTATACCTTTCTATCAGTTAGCATTCTTGTGCACTGGCTAGCAGCATACACTTTTTAACACAATTATTTGGTCACCGTATTTCTGTCTGAAGCTGGCATTTTTAATCCAGGTTATCATATTGTGAGAAGCTCATACTAATCAATACCAAGTTCTCACATATGTTTCCATGTTCTGATCTTCATAAATCCTTACTCCACAAAGTGAGCGATATGTTACATTGATTCGAGCCGGTTAGCATAGCATTTGCTTCAGCTACCTGATGCCGAGGTTCATGGTTTCTGCAGTCCCAATCATCCCAATGGCCAGCAGCATATTATTGCAGAGCTTCGCAGCCTGCAGTATTGAGAAACAGAAACAAACTTCAGATACAAAGAAAGTTCTTTTAACTATAAATAAGTGAGGAACTTCAGTGTGCAAAAGCTGTCTGAATCTGGATACTGATGCCCCGTCTCACCTTGACGATTTAGACCAGCGTATGCATACGGAAAATCTGGCAAAACCCTGGCATACGCAGGATAAGTTACGTTTTGTGTAAGTTATTAGCATGGTGAAGTACGCTGAAGCACGCTGGCACACTTCGACATATGGCAAGTACGTCAAGAAATTTTAAGCAGGCTCAAAATTTCTCGACGTATGCCAGCATATGCCATACGTGGGCCATAAGTTACAGGTAAGTTATTTGATAGTTGACATACATCAATTTTAAGTTACTCATAAGTCATGGTGTCTAGCTTATCCAAAACCTATGAGTAACTTGTGCATAACTAATGCGTAACTTATCAAGAACTTATATCCAACGCATATCAACATATTTGACATGTTCCAGAGGACTGCTGAAAGTGTCTCTAACTTACAGCTACTTTATAATGGCGTATTGGCAGTGTTTTGGTATAAAAGGGGGTTCACGGGAGGAAACTGTCAGTTCTCCTCCAGACTTCATCCCCATCATATGAGGAGTGAGAAGGTGAGTGTGATGGATCCTCCCTGCATTCATGCCCACGGCCATGACCAACGAACTTCCTAGCAGACATGATGCTAAACTGCTGTGACTGCAAACTTTCTTTCCTTCTTTTTCTTTTTTCTTTTGCTATATTTCTTTTTTTTTGGCAGGTGGTAAACAGCAGCCAGGTAAATTCCGCAATCAAACACATCTTTTTATGCAGGCCGGGTGCCTCCGGGCGGATCGCTGCCCCCCTCAGGACACCGGCTTGTGCATTGTTTCATGGGCATTATGCTGTCGTGCATTATGCATTATTTAGGCTGTCGTTGGACATAAGTTCTGGACTCATTATGAATACGCTATGTATACACCCGAAATTGAAAAAAATACATAAAAAGTTCAGGTAATGCCAGCGTTTTAGAAGATTCTACACTGGCTAAATCGATAAGGTTTCATAGGGACCCTAAATCATTAAAAAGCATTATTAATTATTAAAAAGCTCTTTAATACATGTTAATCTATGTGTTGAGTTTAATGAGCAGATTTCTTTACCTGTCCTGAGCCGACTTGTCCACAGTATACAACATTAGCACCCATGCAGGTGAATAATTCCTCTGCAGCCTGGAATTCTTCCTCCAGTCCACCAACCATGAAGGTCAGTTTGGCCATACTGGCAGCTCCAACACCTGATAAAAAAAAACAAAAAAAAACACTACAATCTCATTTCAGCAGACTTACACATTGGGGTGGGGGGGGTTAAGCCAAAAACAGATTGAATGGCTATTAGAGACAGAAAACACAGATTGCTTCATGTAGAGCTTTCATACATTTATACTTGAAATCGTTACGTTTTGATATAATACATCAGGATTATTGTTTCTAAAAAAAAAAAAAAAAGGCACTGGGACTTATAGATGAAGTTAAAAATATTTTTAACTCCTGAAGATCAAAAGAGATGCTGTGAGAGAACTTAATAAGGAGCAAGCTAAAAGCCAAAAAAAGATAAAAGTTCTTTGTCTAAATGTTTTAAATGTCTAGATTTCTATGTTCTTTTTCAAAACTGACAAACAAAACAACACTTTCAAATAAATAAATGCAATATTTTTGTGTAGAACAGTTAAATCCTTATAAAATATTCACTTTTTTGGGCATTTTTTTCCCAATGTAAAAGAGAAATAAATCTGAATTTTACCATTACAACCACAGGCACTCAGTGGGTTTAGAATAATGAATATAAAATCAACATACTGATGGAAGGTATAGCACAAAGTCGTGAAAAAATGTGCATATATATCCGTTATACATGTATGTCTAATAAAAAATACAAAAATGTTCTGTTATAAAGAAATGTTCCGGAAAAATAATTAGCAATAATAATAAACTTTTCACATTTTAATAATGCATAGGAACCTTGGGATTCAAAGGGCTGGCTGCAGATTTAAATAGATAAAGAAAAACTGCATTTCCTCCAAGAAAAACAATAATTTAAAAAAAAGGTTTAAAACCTGAAACACTTGCCTGAGCTGTTATGTTTTGTTTTGTTTATTATGCCCCCTTTGTACTGTTTGGTATGTGCATGTGGGACTTGTGATGAGACAGACGTGTTAAGTAGCGGTGCACCAGAGGGACCCAGCTATCTTTAAAAGGCGATTGTCGCCATCATCCATTGCACAACCCCCGAGGGAACCCTTGCCTTTTGTCTCGCCCCCCCCTCCTCTCTCACATTTGCACAGACCACTCCATGCACGTACACACAAACAGCTGGGCCTTGGGACAGCCCCCCCTTCTGGGGGGGTATCAGTGACAGGCATGAGGGGTAATTAACTTTACACTTTATCATGTTCAATTAGGCGTCCCTCCCCATGCCTGATGGCTTAAGGAGCATGCCATGTTGTAGGAGGCAATTCCATCCCACCTACCCTCATCCCCCCACCCTGCTCAAAGTGGTCCCTAATACAAAAAATAACCCCTTTTCAATGCTTTTACCCAACCAGCCCCATGGATCTGTACTCTAAATGCTGCTCTGACCCCGAGGGTCTAAGGAACCAACAGTCTCTGCTTTCTGGTCCTTAAGGGCAAGTGATCAACTGGATTTAAACATGTGCTAAGTAATACCTGTGAACCAACTAATGTCAATCAACCTGTCAAGGGTTCTTTTAAAAACATTCAACATAAAAGCAACACAAACTGCAAAGCCAATAAACTTATGCCTTAGAAATTGACTTTTACATGTACTTTTGTATTTTTTTATAAACATGAGACAGTGAAATTTATTGGCACCTACTGGAAACTCTGTGTAAAACTATGGTGCATTTTACCCCCAAAGACGGTACAAATACAAAAACATTTCAAAAGGCAGAAGAGAAACTATTACAGGTTTCATCAAGACTTTTTACATGGGTAATAAAGAAATGTATGAACATTTTTTTTACTGTTTTCATTTGGTGTTCAAGTACACTACTAAGGGGGGAAAAAAAAGATGTTTTAACCTCCATGTGTCAGAAACATTCCAATTAATAGTAACTACAGCATGTCACTTTGCTAATAAATATAAACCATCCATCCATTCATCTCTTTTAAGAGTTGTTTTGTATTATTTTCTGTCTGTGCATTATGTGTCCTGTTTATGCTTAGATTCTCTGCAAAATGTTGATATGGTTTTCATGAAGACAAATTCTTGATTCTTTAATAGATTCCCTCTAAATTTAGAAATTAAGCAAGTCCTGAAAAGGGAATGCATTCCGGTGTTTTCCAAGGAATTTAAGAAAGAATACTACAAAGCTATTCTAATATTCTTGCAGAATAACCCTGAATAAGAGTACCACAGTTTTTGCTGAGAGAAGAAAAAGATTTCTGATTATTAGGGTTATAATAATGTCATCTGGAACATGGAAAACACTGCTTGTGACAAACAGACACATTTGTTTTTCTTGTGATGTTGAAATGTTGTAATTTTCTATTAGCTATTAGACCTGCAGTGAACAGCAATGGGTGAGGGAGGGGCTGAACTGCTGCATGCTCCAGGACACGCTGGTTCTTTTTCACAAATCTCAAAGGGGCTTTAAAACACTGAAGCAAAAAGCATTATACCTTGATGCTAATATTGTGTCCATACTTTCACACAGTCATTTTATTTCCTTATTTCAACTTATCCAAAAATGGTTCAGCTTTCTTCACACAGAGCAAAGCAATGCAGAAAAAAACTGGAGTCCAAATTCCTCTTAAGGGTGCCATGAAGCTCTAATGAATGGCCTCTAACCAGTGGAAACCTAATAATGTGAGTGTTAATAATTAAAACGGGAATTACCAGAGAAAAAGCAATAGACTTTAGAGCAGAGAAAACAAAGGAGAGGATTTATTTTCCATATTTTCACTGCCATCAACAAAAACAGCAGTCCCCCTTTAATTGGTTGTCCTGTTGTCAAGTGTTTGACGACGCTGCTGTTCATATCTGTGCATGTTTGTCAGCTCTGAGCCTTCAGCAGGTCATTAGGGCCATATAATGAAGCCCAAAGCCCCATGCTGTAGCAGCTGCCTATAGGCCAAAGCTGCCATGTGCTCAGCATAAGGTCATCACAGACACCAATCATACAAACATACGGCCCACATAAATAATAGATTTTTTCTCTATCTTTCACTGCTGTAGGATATTATTTACTCCATTTGGCACACGTCTACATAATCCAGCATAACTCAACAATTGCCTCCTTACATTAAATTCTTTAAAACAAGTCTGATGATTAAAAGGAAAATAAATTGCAGAAAGACATGAATGTTAAATAGATTGCAGCAGTTTTTTGCACCTCTAAAAATATTCTCCATAAGTGGCCTGAATTTAGCTCCATCTTCCATCTATTATAAAGAAAGCCATAACATGATGCTGCCACCACCATGCTTCACAGAGTAACTTCTTAGATTGCTTTTAGCCAATTCAGGTATCATCAGAACAGAAGACTTTCTGATGTTTCCTCTCCCTGGAATGGCTCTAAATGCAGCTTTCTTTTAAAACTGGAAAAATGTTTTCTTATAATGTTACACTGCCTCATTGTTTTCCAATCGCATAGAATCTATTTAAAATATGTTGAAGATTGCTCTAGCAATGTGACGAAATGTGTTGTAATTCCTTTCCAAGGCTCTGCATTCCCCTTTTGTTTTCTGGTGGTGTTTCTGCAGGGTGAGCCTCACTCATGCAAATACATATACAAAAACACACACCCACACAGAGCTGTGTGACAACTGTGCAGGTTCATTAGTGCAGATCACTGTTTGCCGACGACTAAAGAGGAGATTATTGATAACACAGTCAACGAACTGATCAATATATCTCACTAAGGAGAGTAAGAGAGTGGGGTAAGAAAACGATCTTTCTTTTTCTACCTCCCAGCAACCCGCCCTCAAATTAACTAATCACCCATAATAAGCTCTTATGATCTGTAGTGGATTTCTATAAGGAGTGACACCAGGATGATGGAAGATTCTTGTAGGTGGAAGAATAAGACATCATTAGCATAACAGTATATGTGTGTATGTGCAGGCATTTTTAAGCATATCATAGAACCTGCTCATTGTGCACGGACTGGAGCATATTAGAGAAGAGGTGCTCAGGTACTGTCTGCGCGCTGTGTGAGCTTTCATTGTGCATGCATGAGGGGGCTTCCCATTCTTGGGCCCGTCCTGTCAGAGACGGATTAAGGAGGAATCTTAATGAGGCTTCCCGAGTGCTGGGTCCGCCGGCTCATCCATCCCAGCAGAAGTGACAGTACTGAATCGTTAGTACTGCACAACTGCACAACGCCCCCTAGGGGGAGCAGAAAAGGAGTGTGACTGTGTGTCTGTGTGTATGAGAGAGGGAGAGAGGATCATAAGAAGAGAGGAAACATTTGAGATATTAAACTTCACATAAACTTTATAAAGTGTAGCTCCCTGTCTAAATTAGGTTTATTAGGTTAGGTTATTAAGGTTTCCTTTTTTAGGTCAGTAAGGATAATTATACTATGTCAGAGGTAACAGAGAGAGAGAGACAGATCTGCGTATCAGATTAACTTTTTATTTGTTCTCTAGGTTAATTTGAAGCAATTTAATTATTGGAAACATACCTATGGGAGTATTTTAAGGAAAAAAAAGGTGCACACTGTTTCTTTAGGGGACATCATGGAAAAATGATGATCATAAACCAAGATGCCAGAGAGAGAACCATTAAACTCTGTAAGTATTGTTTATCCTAGAACCAGTCAGTAATCCAAAATAAAAAAAAGTCAAGTAACAGTTGATGATTGCACTTGAGATTAAAGTGAAGTTAAAGTGTTTGGAGGAAAAAAAAAAAAAAAAAGAGTATCCTTGCAAGCCTAAGAGCACCATCCCAATGATGTAAACGGAGGTGCTAAAATCCATGATGCACGGGTGTTCTGCTGCAGGAAGAACATGTGCGTTTGAAAAGAACAATATGTTGAAATATTTAAGAAATGTCAAGGAATCGGCAAGAAATCGGACGGTTTGGAAAAAAAAAAAAATGATTCAAAATGGGTAATGACGTAAGGCATAGGGCTAAATTTGTTACAAATTGGTATAAGGAGAAAAAAAGTCTACTTTTTAGATTGACTATCAAAATCCGGACCTCAGTCCCATAGAATATTTATTGGAAGACTTAAGAGGGAATTAAAAAGGAAGTCACTTTCAAATCCGTCTC